GTGTGTGTGTGTGTGTGTGTGTGTGTGTGTGTGTGTGTGTGTGTGTGTGTGTGTGTGTGTGTGTGTGTTGCTCAAGGCGTTGGGGGTTGATGCACTGGACAAATAAATATGCTAATTACGAATTTGATAAGCAGTTGTTGAGGACTTATCAATTCATTACACCGATACATCGATTTTTTCGTGTACTATTGTAAATTGGGTAGTATTAACATGTAAATTTATTCATATTCGAAGCAATATCTACCATTCTTATAATTTTTGGTGGTAATTTCTTTCAGCTGCTGCTAATCAATGTAAAAGTGTGTTATGTGTTAACATGCTAAACAGCAGCATGATAGCTATTTTTTAAGTAGAACATAATTTCTACGTGGGAATCTTAGAAACCGAACTGCACCCTTTTCAGAAAAGTCTAATTAAAACACAGGGATCTATGTACACCAAAAGTAGTCGGGTATGCAAGCTAGTGTCATGTAATACCAAAAATTTAACTCGTAGAGATGAGTCTAATGCTTTTAAAAAAATTCATTTTGAAAGAAGGTATATCGATGTGACGCTTTGACGGATTGTCATGTAAAGTCATTTTTTTGCAGATTTTTGGGCGGTGTACAGAGGTTAAATCTATCTACAAATTTGGCATAGAATCGCGTGATAAAGCAGTTTAAAGGTCATTTCTCTATTAACACAGAAAACCAAGTTACGCAACAAAAAGCTTATCAAACTATAAAAATCTTGCTGCTACTCATTATGGCCTTTCTTTTTTTAAAGTTTCATCACGATGACTCCTGAGGCATGCACCGTAGTAGTAGAATTTAACGAATTTCTACTCTTAATGTGCTAAAAAAGCGAAGTTATGGCACGGCAGGAGTCATTGATCAAGTTGTCCGCTGTTACTTGCTTTTGCACACTTAGAATTGTCTAGACATTGACATAGATAACGTTTGGGAAAGTCTTCATGTCCCATCTGCTCCTATCGCCAGCGTGGAACCCTCGGAGTTCCAAAGCGAGTTTTCAGCTTCTCCATAACAACAACCAAATTAAGCCCTTCCTTGTTCCCAAAGAGGCAGGAAACTCTTCAATGCTTGAATAAAAATGTATCCAAGGGCATTAGTCTTTAAATACAATCACTTAAAAGCCGTTATTAATTTTGGGTCGTGTTTCTAATCATATCACATTTATACCTTAATCTTTCGTTTCTCATTTTCCCTTTTTCTAATTCTTCATATCTCAAATAATATTTAGATAGAATAATTTAACATTCGAATTCATGATGATAAAGCTTGCTACCAGTTATCAGACTGCCCAATACTCGTGCAAAAAAATTTATGCTAGAGATACATTGCTGCTCAATATACCGCATACATCTTTTCTTTTTTGAGTTTCATCTTATCCAAACTCTTCTCACAAATGCCCGCATGGAAACAAATAAAATGTACGTATTTCCTTACATCCGTCATCACTGAGCCTCGGAATTCTCGATTAATCTGATCTGAAATTTAACTATTTATTCCAATAATTCAGAGTAGGATATTTAAGGGATTTCTAGTAGATATAAACTTTTTTTGGAGATGGCAGCGTCCACGGCGTTACAATCAAGACCCCTTGACAATATTCCCATCACATAGTCTTTGTAAGCATTTGCGGGTTGCATCACTCCACTTCCGCTGTCTCCCTAAGACTCAAAAATTGACATAAGTTTTGAGACCTTATTTGTAAGCATCAGACCTTGCATGCAAACTGATATTTCTCAACAATGCAAAATGCGTCTTTTCCTGCGTGAACCGTAGGATCGCAAAATCGTTCTTTTCGAAACCACACCCTTTCAAGATATTTCTCTTGCTCGGCGGTGTTGAGCGCTAAAATTAAATAAATATTTTTCATACGGTAATGCTTCGATAAACAATGGAAACAATGGCAAAAACATTGGCAGGCATCCAGCAAACTGTGATACTGTTGGAGAAAATTTAAAGTCATAGGCTTTGAGTAAAAGTTCTACGCTGTTGATCAAAAATATGTGAAAACTCTCGCATGTTATTGTTAATTTGCCAAGTCAATTATCCCTATGCTGTAATTTCTGACTAGATTTCATTTTAAAATAAAATTCTTACGATCGTATCCGTAACCAGCTGAAGCTAGTGACGCGCGTAGCTTAGTTGTAGCGGAAGGTATGCATGCATAGTCCTTCTTCCTAGACAGTTCGTGAAACTCTCCTTCCACTTCGACGATAGCAATGTCCCCAGAACGGCATTTGGATGAAAAATACCGCTTTGGTATGCCAATCTTACAAATTCATAATAGGATTGTGTTACACTTGACTGTGTCAGAATATGTACAAGATATGCAAGCTTACATGTAAAGCTTTCACTTTCTTGCTCAACCTGTCTTTCGGACAATTGCCGTCTTTTGCAACATTCACACATGTACCCCCGTAATGCACCCAAACTGGCATGTGTTTCGATGCAGTTAGTTGTCCACCTCTAAAACTCTTTTTCGTTCTCAATTCACTCATTAACTTGTATATGGACACCACGACTAGGCACTCTTGTGCCAAAGAGTGCCTAGCCTCTGTGTTTATATACAATCTTGACACGTGATCATCTAAGAGGTTTGTAAAAATGGAAGTTGATGAGACTTCAATAATGGAAGAATTGTTGCTCTAAGAAAGCTAGAATCACAAAAAATTTTCATGGGATATGTGCAGGATATAAGAAATAGCGAAGAACAATTTAATAACAGTTTTAGATCTCGCTAAGCTGTGGCTTTCAAAAGTAGAAACGCAAATGGACTGTACCTAAAATCAGTTGGGTACACTCTGCAACGTAAACTAACACTATAAATTCAAGATAGCTTCCATAATGAACGAGAGCACAGTACTCTCAAGGATACTATCGCTAAACTCACACAGTAGCTTTGGGCGTCATTGCTCCAAGACATGCTTATCCTCGGATATCTATATGGTGGTTCAGTAAGTTGTCCTACATTACCATTTTCAAAGCGACAAACTACCAATAGCAAATAAATGGAGAACACGGGCTTGAAAATGCACTGAGTGAAGTTGGAATAGACGGCGTGTGCTGCTTTCCCACGATGTCGTAAACAGCATTTCTCACTATATAACCAAAAAAAAA